TGTGTCTTGTGGCAATCAAACCAAACATGCACTAGACCTGAGAGATGAAAGCTGCATTTTTAAGTGCCAAATACATTGTAATGTCATGGGTTGTTTTTGTACTGCCATTGGTGACCAGGCTGAGAAGCTGAACTCTCAATAGAACTGCTTTAATGGTGGGTTGTTTTGCCCCGATTTTAACCTTCACTTTGGTGGCTGAGATGTCGACTTAATAGCTGAACAATTATGGGAAAAGGAAAGATCGCTCCAAGATTATTCTTCTCTAGCAATGGCATTTTTTTTATCTCCAGATGTTTTGACAGCCGATCATGAGGCCCTTTTCATGTTTGCCAGTCCACGCACCAGTTTCCTAAGGTTAACTGCTCAGCGTGTGCATCGTTTGGACCTCCTGAGCAGCTAACTATCGGAAAATGCCATGTGCACTTGCAGTAATTAAAATATATCATGATTGGCTGTCAAAACGTCTGAAGATGGAAATACTACGGTTGGAGAAGCGTTGTCTTGGTGAGAACTTCTCCTTACCAAGATTTAAACCCAGAATCTCAGCTGTGGTCTGCTGTGGTGTTGGGACGCCTGTGACATTGGACCACTGAGTCACCTGACCATTTCGGTAATGCATATTTAATGACAAGTATGAATATATGAGAGTGGAAGCGATAAAAAAGCTGGGATACTTATTAAAAGTAAACACTGAAATATGCATAGATCTCGTAGCTCCTTCACATCAAAGCATTTATTAACTCGCCATGTACCAGAAAAATGTTAAGTTCACACTTTAAAATAGTAAAAATTTAATATCTGTATATGTTTACACTTTGACAGTTTACACTTTGTATCAACAATACATATATTACATCAATAGTGGAAATTCTATACTATGGATAGAATTACCCTGCCATATGAATGTAGAATTTCACCACTGACTCAGGTTTTATTTACACCAATGAGTACAGAATCACACTCTTGTGAGCATGGAGTCACACTGATTTTAATGTTTGCAAAAGATATGTAAACAAAGCATTGCTTCATCAACTACAGCAACTTCGATTCTTAAGCTCACGGTATATGCGTCGAATTGCGAGTGTCTTGTTCACGTGTATTGTTATAGTTGACCGATGTATGAAATTATTATTGCGAGTGTCTGTTCACATGTATTGTCTATGTGATGGATTCCCCTTACCCCTGCAGCCACTAGTGCAAGGGTCAGAAAACCTGCGGAGCGCAAGCCGCATGCGGCACTTTGAGGACTGGTGCTTCGTGACGTTATTTATTCAGGACCACCGTCCCGTATTCACACGCGTTGCTGCTTTTGAAATATCGAGGGTTTTTTTTATACCTAATTTGAAAAAAAAAGTGGCTCCTCTTGTTTTTTTTTTGGTTGCTGACCCCTGGCCCCAGTGGATGCTGACAATTAACACAATATATACAATAGAAAGAGAATAATTGACCAATGAATGAAATCGCTAATTCTGAATTGTGACAATATCAGTATCCAAGCTGTTGTGATCATAACACCGTGAGTGGACTAAGCACACTGTGTCTGCTCCGTATGCACACATACACACAATCCAAAGAAGATTCCACCGGAATATAAAATCCAGAGTTGAACCAAAATTAAAGATGTGGTTAGATTTGGATACTATAAAATCCCACCTAAGATATAAGTCACTTGGATGAGCTGTCATGTGGGGCCAGGCGTGCCTCTGAAAAAGAGCTAATAGCTCAGTGAGCTTTACCTGGTAAATAAAAATAGTAAACAGTATTCACACATTGCAGGCTGGGTTGGCCTAGCATTTACATATGAAAAATTCATTCGTGTTACAAAACGTGTGGTTGTAGATGAACGAAGGCATGGTTCTAAAGTTTTAGAGCAAATGATGTACACGATCCCTGGTGTAAGAAACGTGTCGTTAAAGAAGTAAAGTTTGATTTATTGATCGATAGACCCCCCATAATATGCAACATATATACCTGCAACTGTGTTTCCTTTATACAAATGTCAACCGATAATAAATTGATGCCCAGCCAAAAAAAAACACAACAATGGTGTCTGGTGTTAGCCCTACGGCGCTGGGCACTCACAACGACCTATTACTGCGCGCACTGAACAAAGATCAGGACCTCCAGTTGACAAACGACCACGGACGCGTTTTACAGCCGTTGTTGGACATCTGAACATCACCAAACAGACGGGCAAGCCTTGGGTTTCACGCACTGCCCTCCATCCGATCTCCTTGGGAAGTGTATTTGCATCATTGTGCAGAGAGAGAGAGAGGGAGCTCCTCTGCCCCGTCAAACATCGAGAGCAATGCAACTCATAATACTCGCACTAGTGCAGTTTCATTTGTTTTACCATACTTGCATTGATACATTACTGTATTGTGTATCAAGGGGGTGGCCATTTCTTTTGTGTTACGTGCCGTGCGTTCAACAAATGCGTGCCCTATTGAGTTGGGCTTGGATGTGTGGGGTTTTTTTTCTTCCTTTCTCACAAATTCCACGACCAGACGAGAGAAAAAAGAAAAATAATTTCATAGCCACTTTTGAAACTGGCTCCCGTGATCCCATAAATCCAATACCTGTACTGTATATAGGTTAGCACACGAGGAGTTGTTTTATAAAAGCCCTTTGCGAATTGGCAGTCCGCATGCATCTGCATCGCATTATGAAACTGCAGACACACGCACACACACACACACGCTAAAATACATTTGACGTTGCATACTCTCGCTGTCTATATAACGAAAAAAATTTCGATACTCTATTGACCAAACCACTGATGGGATGAGGGCCTCACCCACACTGTCGGCAATGGGGGTGGGGGATGCGTTTTTTTTACCATACTTCACCATGCTGGTCAATTCGAGTTGGTAAAGGTGTTAAGGGGTCCCAGGACCGGTTTAGCGATCACTCACCACAGATATTGTCCATGGCCAGGAATCGAACTCGGGTCACCGAGTTCACAGCGCAGTGCGCTAACCCCATCCCCCCACGTAGCGCTCCTCGTCGACTTATAAAGTAAAAGTATGCATTGTGTATAGGCGTAGAGACATTGTCGAGTCATCAACCACTTTGATCGGAACTCTATCACTCGCAAGACATAAATACATATTTTTAACGTGTTTTGTCGCCAACCTCGGACGAAACGTGATAAGGTATTTAAATTTCAAACACGTCGAAAGATGGAGGGAGGGAGCGAGAGAGAGAGAGAGAGTGGTTGTATTTGAAAAGTGGAATGTAAGTAGCTTACAGGCCACTTGCAGTTACTTAGAGGAGCAATTTGGGAATGCGTTGTGTGTTTAAATGCGCCCGAGACGCTCCGCGAGCAATGAATCATTAACCCATCCGTGCGTTTGTGTGACTTGTAAGACGATACACCGCGCCGGCCAAGACGGCGTTTGAACTCAACGAATACGGGCGGAAAGGGGTAGAGAGAGAGAGGAGGGGAAAAAAAACACACACAACTCGGTTGCAGTAATTCACAAAGCATCGGTAATTAATTATCAAACGGCGACGACGTTAAATGGCCTGGCCGTGTCTGCCTTTTGCTTGGCCGCTCATCGAGAGATGAGAGGAGAGAGGACTCGCTCGATCGAGAGAGGGTCCTGTGTGGTTTTGTCCGGTCGAGGGGGGGGGTATAGATTAGAGTTGTAAACTGTGGAATATACTGAATATATACACGCACCGATTATATCAGAGTAGCAGTTATAGCCAGCGGCTGTTTCAGCGCCACTCTGTTTTATATTGAGAGAGAGAGAGGGGTGTGGGGGCAAAGCTGCGCTCTCTTTATTGCAGTCAAAATTAATTGATTGTGTTGCGAGGCACAAAGAGACAGCGACAAACGCGGGTCGATGTGATCGAGATAGCGATTCTAACGTGACCTGCTCATTGTGGAGCATACACTTCGTGCAATCACGAATTCATAATCTTTGGTTCTTTCCGTAAAGTCACGTCGAAAGAAAAATAATAAAGTGAATAAAAAAAATAAAGAAACACTAAACCATTAGTGTTTTTTATTATTTTTATTCACTTTCTTTTTTTATTTTTCTATCTACGTGACTTTACGGAAAGAACCAAAGTATATGAATTCCTGCAGTCACGAAAGTTTTGAGTCAAAATGTATCACGCTTGCAGTTTTGCGTGGACTACGGCAATCATTAGAATCATCAGCCGTGGGGAATGTATCTCTTCTGAAGCGCATGGGTTTGCGCCATCATCCTACACATGGCAACGCGGGACCCCCACGGTTCTGTTTTCTTTCGCAGACCTCCTGCTCTTCTTATCCTCCCCCGGTCTCACACCCCGAGACGTGAGCTCGCACCCCCCCCCCCCCCCCAACTGAATGTTCGATCGTCACAAAACGACACCGATTCTCGTCGTATCGCCGTGCTTAATGGCTGAAGGGACACGTGGGTCGATCTGCCTCAATCCCCCCCCTCCTCCTACTCCTCCCCCCTCTCCCTGCTATCCTTCTTAGATCTCAGCCAGCCTTCATTATCACCTTGTTGTTAGATTCTAAACAAATGACCCCCCGACGCTTAAATGCTTCCGTCCCAGAGCCTGCCCTCCATAGATAATTATCACCTTGCGGATGCAGGGTTGACTAAAACCACACACGTTATGTTGATCATGGGGCCTCCTTTGCCAGTACCAAAATATGAGAATCGGTTTTCCCCTTTTTTTTAAGAAAGCTGTCTCTGGTGTGGACCAAACAGTTTCAAAGACAATGCATATATTATCAGAGTACGTTTTTTGTTTGCATTCTGACCACAAGTATTGTTGGTTCATGCAGACAATGATTCCTTGTAAAAAGGTTTAAGTTTGGTGTTTTAACATCTTAACACACCTGTTTTGTTGCCAGAAAAAAAAGAGGGGAAACCTATTATCACGTTATATCGATCTTTAGATCACATTCTGCCATCCTTCCACCTCCTATCCCACCCGGATCCCCAGACACCTCCCCCCCCACCCCATCTCCAGTGCGTGGCATGATTTCTCACCTTGTGGGGGGCTTTGAGCAGACGGTGAACTCCCGCGATCTGCTCGATGAGAGGGGTGTCCTCCAGAAATGTGTAGGTAGGCGGTCGCGTCGGCTCGGGGAAGTTGGTGCTGGAGAACGGGTCCGTGTCGTCCAGAAACTGGACTCGGCACGTCAGCGTGGCCATCGCCGTTCACGTGCCCTCTCGTCGCCTGCGTGGCACGCCCCGAGTCTCGAGTTGCTGGCGACTAATGTCGCCCCAGCGCTAATGCACGGGCAATTTGTGTCCCGCCGACGCCGTGTGCGCGTGACGTTGCGACGACACGATGCGCTGCGGCTGCGGCGGCGGCGATGATGATGATGACTATTGTGGCTTAATCCAAGCGGCTATGCGGGGATGCAAATACGAAAACTCAATTGAAAGAAACAATGTGGATTTTTGTTTTCTTTCTTTCCAAAGCCGGAGAAGTATAACAAGCGAGCGAGAGAGAGATTAAAAAAACCACTACGACGTAATAATACAAACGTCAATGAATCCAGAACGAAACCACAATTCTAAAGGAATTAACAAATAGACACGCACGCGCTCGCCACTCAAAGCAACCCCCCTCCACCACCCCACGACTGCGTTCGCTGTATAGGCGAAGCTATGAAAATGAAGCGACCGATCCGGACAAGGGGTGTTAGCCTCAACACTTGCTGCTGCTGCTGCTGACGGTGCCTGGAGTGTTGTGGCGGCGTTGCTGCTGCTGCTGTTGCTGGCGGTGGTAGCGGGCGGCTGCGTAGCGCAATGCGCGCCTGCCCACTGCGCTCATGTGAGCGAGCGTCTTCTCTCGCTGCTCTTCAGCCTCTCGCCACCACGCACGGCCGTGTGGTGATGATGGGGATGCTGCTGCTGCTGCTGCCGCTGCTGCCGCTGCCGGCTGACGCTGGCAGTCGTAGCAGTAGTGGAAGCAATGACATAGCCCCCAAATGACGGGGGTCGCTGCCGCTGCTGTTTCGTCGATGGGGTGGGTGGGTGTTGCTGGGAGGAGGAGGAGGAGGTGAGGGTGAGGAAAGGGTGGGGGGCTGAAGGTGGGGGGGGGGTGGCTGGAGGAGTCCAGGGATGGATTTGGAAAGGAGGAGGAGCGCATTGATGGGGCTGACGCTGCTGCTGCTGCGGAACGCAGATGCGTGTGTCGAAGCCGGCCGGGTCGTACACGCGTAGCCAATGTCCATGCGTCAGTAACAGCGGCGGGTTCGGTTGGTGCGAGTATCACGTTTTATGGGACGCACTTATTTCTACCCCAAAATTCGCTATATGCGGTTGGGATTCGCTCACGTGCGGTCAGACGTGGGATAACATTGTGTGTGGTGTGTACGCAGCTGTCTCGTGCGGTTTCGCCGTGCGCGCCCTTCTTTTGGAACACATCTACCGCATAAAGCGAGGGAACCCTGCATATGATTGTGGTTAGCGGCAATGTGCTGCAAAGCCAGTGTTATCTGAGTACGATTCCTGTCCAGGGATAACATAGCCGGAAAATGGTAACATAATTATCAACCTGGGGCTTACCCGAGGACGCCTCTCAACCTAAGTGGCTATTGTACGTGGTGTGCTGTAATGCCTTCAGCGATGGGAAGACAAAGGCGTCCGAGCGCGGTTCTGGCCACGCACCACGCCATCGTTTGTACACTGTGCCGCCTTAATAGTTGCTCACTTACAGCGCTTGCTTATGACTGCTGAGTGATCTTCGGCTTTAGTTTGCTCCCAGTAAGTTGACTAGACTCTTTGGAAACGCGCGTGCGTGGTTCTGTCTCCGTGTGTCGGCGTCGCTGTGACCCATCAAGCAAATCCCAAAGGAAGCAGCACTGAAGCGGATAGCTCACAGAGTCACGGACAGGACAAGCCATCATCCATGCAGGGTGCTGAGTTGTGTAACTTTTAGTCGAACAGACTAATAATCGTGCATTCGTGTGAAGTTTACCTCTCCTATACTTTTGCAGTTCTATCGTGCATCTGTATTGTTTGTTGTAATGTTCTGAGCCACCCCTACGGGACATCTGTGAAAAAGCGCTTCATGGCTCATCGGATTCCTCCAGCATAGATACATGTTCTGATTCTGAACAACCGAAATGCTGCCCGTGATACGATGTGGATATAATGGTAAGCTCGCTGGACTTGCAATGCATCTTCCGGCGCGGAAAGTTAAAACAATAGGTAGGATTCTTAAACCTTTCCGTCCTCTGTCCACCCACAAGATGTGCATGGGTACTGCCTCAATTTAGTCTACTGGCAGGTGGCGTGTGGTGGGGTTAAAGTGTGGGTCCTCCCGCTTCTGGCCAGCATAGACGAGACATCTCAACTATCTTGTAGAGGGGGCTCTTCAGAATTCCCTCTAGTGTGGGCCCTGTCGTCGGCAGTGGCGTGAGCAAGAAATTGCAGGGCCGCACCTTTAGCTTTCGCCATTCTAATACAAGGGAGTGTAGCGTCCACAGGCGAATGCAATGCACAATGTGGAACAAGTCTCAGTTTAGTTACGGTGGAACTTTTACCCAAAAAGATATCACAGCAGTTTGCAATAATTTAATATGCAGTGATACATCAGAGCTGTGCGGTGTGAGTGTGTTCGAAACATAACTATTTTTCCATTATCCATTTTTATTTAAATATGCATGGTGATCCGTGTATAAATACCGCACTAAATAAATAGTTGAAGGTTAAGGAGAATATTGAGCCGTTATTTCCCAATCATGCACTCACATTGGGTTCCTCTCTTAAGATTTGGAACTATCATTGGCTTGAGATCATTGGCTTGAGTCAATCGTGGCCTGGATTTGAACTCCTCGTTCACCAATGATACATTGCCGTAGATCTACGAACGTTGTTGTAGCTTTTTTTTTTTTAAAAAACGACATTCGCTTTTCACGTGAGATGGGCGACAACAGCACTGGGCCACGTGAGACGGTGACGGCATCCGGAGGAGGCCTTCCATGCAGTGGATAGACAATAGGCGATGATGAGTACGATTAAATCTAATTGCGTCGCTGTACCTGTAGCCTTTAAACAACGGAAATGTCTTCAATGTCAGCATTACTGCATGTGCGCTCGGGTCCTCGTTATTGTTTGTATCATTCACACATTGTGCGCTGCTGCCATTTGTTTTGGATAACGCCGAGATATCGTGAGCGTGTTCATTGTGAGTGCTGATCTGATATTGCCCTCTGCTGGTGCAGAGCAAGTTGCCGGCTTGGGTTTATCAGGGAATCAGTTGCTTTGGCAACTATTTCTATGGAAACTCAAAAACACACACACACACACGCGCGCGCACAGGCACAGTAGCTGGTGTTGTTTCCCGGTAATTTTAATTGAGTAGATCACGTTGCCTGAAAAGTTCCGCTTTAAGCTAATTGCTGTAGAGAATGCCACAAAAATGGTTTCAATTGAGATTCCAGATTTGTTTTTACATAAAAGCCAACGTGACACAGAACATGCTGTGGTAATTGTTATGCCAATTTGATGCAATTGTATATTTGTTTTCAAGTGAGCTCAGATATAATGATAAAAAAAATCTCGTTTTCAGAAGATAAACATGTTTTTCATCACCGTAACTCAAATTATCCTAAACGACCCGTGCATACGCTTTTAGTTATGACTATCTCTCCCGATAAACATCTGTCTGTAAAAAAAAAACGTGGAAAAACTTGTGGCTTGTGTCTGTGCGTTTTTTTCTGGAAGCAATTTAAATCTTTTCTATCCCCCCCCCCCTGAACCGATGTTATTTTTATGATCAGACGGTTTTGAACGAAGCAAAACAAATGTTTATTGCTTGCCAAAAGTATCTGCTCACCATAGAAACAGAGAAATGTGTAATACGAAAGGGAATGGATTGCACAACTTTTGCTTTAGTATACTTCAATATGTTTTTTTACGTTGTGTTAATATTTGTTCATACGGTACAATGCTGTTGTAATTATCATAGACAGCTTCTATGTCATCATCATCATCATCAGCCTAGGTCCATCCACTGCTGTACGAAGACCTCCCCAATCCGCCTCTTATCCTCTCCCGATCCTTCGATGTTTTTAATCCTAATAGCACCTGCAGACGAGCTGATTCCATCGCTCCATCTCCTCGCTGGAGTAGACCCGATGCAATCAAGCTCGGGTGTTTCAAGAAAATAAAGACAATAGAGATTCAGTGTGAAGTGACCCAATATCCCCCCCAAGTAATATTATACAGTAGACTATTGGGGGCACGTGTTGTTGGTGAGCAGCTATTATGACCAACATAATTTCTTGAAAGAGCCTGTCTGGCCCCTGGCCACCTCTATACCCAGTGGCGTTACCCCTCTTCATTGAGTCAAACGTCACGCACAGTACGAGATACTGCTCGTGTTCAGTCAACCTCGGTGAGGTCCAATCCCACGTTCAAATTCTGCTCGCTTGCCACTCCTGAACATAATTCAGGATGTTTGAGTCTTACCGCAATGCAATCACCCGTACGAAGACCAAAGTGTCCTGCGTATCGCCATGCAGACTGTTGGGCAAATTGCCGCTAGGGAGCACCTATTAACACTTGATTCGAAGCTTTCATGACTGCAAGAATTACTCTTTGTTTTTTTCGGTAAAGTCACGTGACTTTACCGAAAAAAACAAAGAGTAGCACCTATTAAAGCCGGAAAAAGGGAGCAACAATATGACCAGCACCACATCCGGCCACCTTTGCATTCCCAGTGCTGCTGTTTACCACGCAACTTGAGGTACTAATTTCAGGAACGATTTGACCCTCGGGGAAAGCCAGAATTGGTTCAAATATTCGCCACTGCTATTGGCTGTGGCCAAGAATCAAAATCGAAGTCATGCGGTTCGTAGTGCAGTGTGCTAACCACTACACCACAGTGCATAGATGCACACACACTCATGCACCGTGTAAACCAAAGAAGGTTTCACAAAAGTTTAAACGCCAAAATTGAATGCAAACGAGCAATATTTATTGGGATAGCAACACAGTACCCGAGTTAATACTACCGTCTACTCTAACCCTTTACCTACAAACTTGATCCAAATCATCTTAAGAATTCCAAAAATCTTCGCTGATACTGATCGCGTGTGCTGGATTATTACACGAGATCAAAGTACAAGGTTCAGGTATCGTATTTCCTTTCTCCGTCACGTTGCACATAGGCTATACATTTCAGACCATAAATGAATGATATTGCTTTGTTTCAAGTGTATTTAGAATCTGTGCATTAACAGGCAATATTCACCATCAACATATATTGAATTTATCATAAACACTTGAATGCTTACTCTTTGGTTCTTTCGGTAAAGTCACGTAGGTATAAAAGAAAATCATGAATGCTGCTAAACAAACTGCAAACACCTCTATTGTATTGTAATTCATTTGAAGGTCCCATCTCTGTATATTTTGGGTAGATGTGAGGTTCAGATACTACTTGTGCACGACTTATTTATAAACCTTACTAAAAAAAGAATAAACCAATGGCCAATGCCACTTAGTTTTGTCAATAGATATATTCACCCGTCACGTGATGGTTTGCACACTGGACTTGCGATCCACAATCGCAGGTTCGATCAGATCTCGGAGCAGCAGTTGAAACAACGGGGCACGTTTCATAACTCCACCACCCCTGCCTTTGTCCACCCAGCAGAATAAATATGTACACCACGGTTCGCATGTGGTGGTGTAAAGTGTGGGTACTCTTGCCTCTAACAAGACATCTGGCCAGCATGTAGCATTCGGCAAAACAGCCAAAAGTTGAGCCTCACTAGAACTTCCTCAAGTGGCAGGCATTTTCTGCCGGCAGTGGAATGAGAAATCCATTGCAGGGCTGCACCATTTAGCACCTTATATACACCTAACATGGTAAGGAAAGCTTTAAAAAAAAGGCAGTCTGTGGAAAACAACTTATGAAAGTTAATTATTTGGAGAAAGAGCACGAATAAGTAAAACCCTACACCAAATTAAAACGCACATTATTGTCTTCCACTTTATGGCTAAACATTGACTACACGCTGGCTTAAG